GCTTGATTGTCTAGGATTTAATTAAGTTAAAATTGCCCCAATTTTTCCTCTCTTCAAAGATGGAGCAATTGTTTTAAACTAATCAGTTCTGGATTGATCATTCCCTGCTCATCTCTTCTTTTGCCCAAGAATCTATTTGGTGGAAATGACTGTCCAGGAAGACTCTTTTGCTTCTTTCTTCCTTTACTGGACATTTTCCACTGATAAACTGTCATCGGTAAGACCTCATTCTTCATCCCTTTTAGCCACACAGTGTGGAATTCTCTGTCATTTCGCTAGAAAGGAAAATATGTCTGGTTCATAGGTTAACTGTGCTGTATGAGGCTTTTATACCCTCCTAAACAATTGAATTATATTGCATGGAACATAATTGGCTTCGGTTATACTATCAAAAACACATCCTAGTATGAAAGAAAGCATGGAAATGAGCATAACTTTGTGCCCATCTTCAAATTACTTGAAGTTTCTTAGCTCTAATCCAATTTTCATGTCTTGGAATCTTCCTACTAATGGCAAATTAGTCTTAATTAGCTGAGATGACTAGCAACGATGATGAGGCAATGTCATTTTCTCTTTTTGTAGGTCTCTTCCTAAGCACAGGAATTGTGTGAAGTTCTTGCCACCAAAGGGCAGTTTTCAAACTTTAGTGTAAGAAGACTCATGTGGTGAGTTTGACATGTGTTAATTGCTGGTTCCTGGCTCTGAGGTTGTGTGCATTATGCTCTGGGGCACTCTAAGGGTCTCTGAAAACCATTGTTTCAGAAATTTGGTCAATCTCAATAGAATTTAATCCAGTGTTTTTTGAGACATGGTCTTGCTATCTATGTAGCCCAGGCTGGCCTTGGACTTGCCATTCTTCTGCCTCAGCATCCTGGGTGTTGGAATTACAAGTGTGCTCTGCTACATCTGGCTAAATTTTTCATTTTTAAATTAAAGGAGGGTGGAGGAGCCATCATAGATGTCTGGCTAAGACTCCAATGCTCTTCTTAAATAAATTCTTTTGCCATCCATACATTCATCCATCTAGGTATATTACTGCTATGGGCCAAGTGCTAGTTATGGTAATTGGGTCAGAATTTGGGGCGTTCTCTCTTCCTTGAGTTCATCAGTTTAGCCAACTTGGAATACTATTTATGAAGTCTGCCTGGGAGCCTAGCTCCTGACCACACTGGCTAATGTGGTGTGCTCTAATAGGATATGGTCAGTCAGTGCATATGGGAGGCTGTAGAGTTTCTGTACTTCTATGTCTTACCATTGCCTAATGGTAAACATTGGTGAGGGCTCTACCACTGGTTTGGTCCCTTGGGTAGAGGCCTGCAGGAAAAGGGCAATTATAAGTAATTTAGTAATGATTTATACAAACACCAGAAAAAAAATACTGTAAATCCTCAAAAATGAGAGAGAGTACAAGCACCAGCCAAAGATGACATATCATTACTTGGCCATAGGCAGTGCAGTGGTGAGCACTGAATCTACAGAGATGGAGGAGACAACCCTAGAAAATTTCTAGCCCGGGAAGAGGGAGAAGACAAAAGTTCCAGGCAAGTGTAAACACAACAGCCATGTTCAGCAGAATGGTGTAAATGTCACAAGAGTGATCCAAAGTGTTACAGGGACTCCAAGAGTCAGGGATCACACACCCAGTTTCGTTTTTCCAAAGGAGGTGGCATTTGATCAACTCCTTGAAGAAAGGATAGGAATTTGACAAGTTGCAAAGGAAGAGAGAGATTGCAGGCTGCAGGAATGTCTTGAGCAAATGTGTGGAGTGGATAAGACCTGTTGGGACATAATGGAATTCCTGTTGGAACTGGAAGAGGTTCTTTTGAGGTTTAGTGGGAAACAAGGCTGGAAAGTTTGGTTTGGTCAAGACCAGAATCTGAGTTTGGACTTTTTCCAGTAGGCAGCAGAGAGTCATTTAAAGGGACTTGAGCAGGAGGGTGACACCATCAGAAATGTACTTTAGGAAGCACAGCAGCTGGGTGGAGGAGGATTTGGAGGAGGAATGGCTATAGAGACATGCCAGTGAGGAGGCTCTGGAGAGTGAAGAGGAGGAATAATTGACTCTGTGCAGCGAGAAGGGCGGGGATAGACAACACAGCAAGTAAAACTGTGGGAGTTGCAGGCAAGAGGCAGCCAAAGAGGACTACAGCTTGGGGGCCTAGGAATAGGCCACACAGCAATAAAAATTCAGGGAACAAAAGAGAATCTAGGGGGAAAAGCAGTATTTTGGATTTGTGGTGGCTATGGGCATCCTGATGGCGATGGAAAAATGAGCTGGCCATGGGGAAGAAATAAATGAGATGAGGTGGAGACAATGCTGTGGGAAATGGTTTTGGGGTGAATGGTGGCAACTCTCTAAGGAGTGAGTCACCAACAATGGAGAAGACCATGAAAGGCTTTTAAGGCAGTGGGTACATTAAACAGTCTGGAGGAAGAGAAACTCAAAAATCAGTAGAGGAAGATGAGTCTAAGACACTGGAGGAAAAGCATGATGTCAGGAACGCCTGCGGATGTGGGGACAGTTCAACAGGGAAAGATTTGGTCATATTATCTGAGATTTCAGGGAGGGCGAGCTGGGTCAGATTGAGCGGTGGTCCTGGATTTGTCTTTGAATTAGAAAACCAAACTAGACTGCCCCAAGGCTGATGCGGGCGGAGGGAGAGGGGGAGGGGGGAGGCGGGGAGCTGTAGTTTAGTGTTAGAGTGCTCAAGCACTAGGCCCTGGGTTCCACGGGGGTGGGGGTGGGGGGGTAGGGAGCGAATCAAACAAAACCAAAAGAAAAAACTAGATTCCTCTAGGGAAGGATCTTGCCTTAGGCCCAGTCTCTGGTTCATTACAACCTGGAAGTCTGTAAAGGTTAGGCATCTCTAAAGGTGTCTATTTTCCTGTCAATGTGAATTAATCCCTTCCACTAATAAACACTCCTTATGACCCTGAATGAGTCACTTATCCTGTCTGAGGGCACTAGTTTTGTCATCTTTAACTTTCCGGTTCAATGATTCTGTGTACACATGTGAATATGTTCGGTAATCTATACGTTACCAAAAGCCCAAGTCCTCCATGACTGTTTGTGAGGACAGAGTAGAGTTTAAATTGCCTTTTACTTTCCAATGTGCTTCCTGTTGCCATCACCTATGCTGTAAAATGTTTTAAAAATTATTTTACGAGATTTTAGAAATGAAGCAACTGGAGAAAAGAGACTTCCCCTTCCATTTGCACATAAAGATCGTCCAGTCTTCTGCCCAGGCCTTTTCCTAGGTATGGAGGAGGTGCCTAGAAAAATACCAGACAGATATACAAAAACATAATGTCACCAAAATTTTCCTAACAAGCAGCTATGGAAAGTCTGCCAGCGTCCCGTCTCCAGGGAGCTGCAGCCTGGGGCTGCCGGAGGCCCCACGAGGAGTCAGTGACTTCGTGGCCTCCGCCGCGAGTGGGCGATTTTCTTTAAAACGCTGATGCGCTCTTCCGCTTTAAATCCAGGCAACGAGGCCGGCGGTGGACGCAAACCTTAAGATGCGAAAGTGTCAAAGGAGATAGGGCTTATCTCCAACAATAGGACACTATCTCCAACACTGTTTACAGTAAAAACAGAAGGTAGAGCAGGAGTAAGGTTGTCTAACGTGGTAATTAAGGCTGCGGCTTGGACGAGATCTGACCGAGCTCCGAGAGTGCGAAGAACAATGTCCGCAGGGTACTCGGTTCACCCAGGGACTCGCTTCCCCGCCTCCGCCGGCGCCCTGGCACCCGCGCTCCTCGCTCGCTCTTCCTGCTGCCCTGCCCATGGAGGACGAGCCGATCGGGCGCCAGCAGGGAGCCCAGCACACCCAAGCGCCCGGACTGCGGGTCGGAGCCGACAGAGCGCGCCTGCGGCCGCGGTCCTCAGCCAGGCGGCTGGGTCGCGCCGTCTGCAGGCGGCTTGGCGGCATCCGCGCGCCTGTGGGGCGTGTGTATTCATAATGGTGTATTTGCTAGTCCCACCGCCCGGGTGCACGCCCCACCTCGAGCAACAGGACCGCGGTGTGGAGCGGGGTCACGGCCGAGGGCAGCTCACGCTCCCCGGCTCCACCCGGGCGGGCCGGCTTCCTGGCCCGAGGCGCAGAGGGAGTGCGAGGGCGGGGCGGCCGGCTCGAGACGCGCGTCGTACGGCTGCGGAGGTTCCGAGCGCTCTGCCCGCTTTCGGGCACCGGCTTGCCGGGACAGAGCGGACGCGGGGCTCAGGGCTGGACGCGCAGCGGCTACACGAGCCAGCGGAACAGCTGACGCTCCCTTTCCCTACCGGATCTGCAAAAGTGAAGTAGAAAACAGCCGCTGAGCGCAGCCCTCCTCCCCTTTCCCGGGACCGCGACCTCCGCTGAGGGTGGGGGAAGTTCCCCCGCACTGGCTGGAAGGAAAGCGGACAGCCGGGCCACCTCGTCCGCGCCTCCTCCGCCTTCCTCTCCACCCGCGTCCCCTGGGCTCCTTGCCGCATTTCTTTGTTTTGAAAGCGCCTCCTCCGCCCAGAGGATTTTCCCCCAGCGGGCTGGCTGATGGGGGGGTTGGGCATCGGACCGCGGGCCCCGCCCCCACTTGCCCCGCCTCCCTCCCCTCTGAACACCCCGATTCCCTGTCCTCCCCACTGCGACCCACGAGGCGCGTCTTCACTTGTCCGACATCAAAGGAAGGCAGGAGACTGAAGGGGTAAATTGAGTAGGCAGGGGGCGCAGAGACCCAGTTACCTCAAGGCCAGGCCCGGCGGTCCGCCCCCTCCCGCGGGAACCCCGCCTGAGTCCCGCCCCCCGCGTCACAGCAGCCTGACATTCTCACAACCCACCAAGCATCCAACCCCGCCGCCCCCGCCACCCCCGTGTCCGCCGAGTGCTCTATTTATGTTTCAGCCCGGCTATTTGCATAGGCCCCGCCCCCGGCCCTAGGTTCTCCCTATCAAAGCCCCGCCTCGGCCTTGTCGTCATGGGAAAGGACACACCTCTCGTGCCCGTACAAGGAGCGGCGGGCCCTAGATGGCAGCGTGGCGTCGCCACGGCGTGTGCGTGTCGCGCTTCCTTGTGCCGTTTATAGGGTCCCAGCACTTCCGCTGTCGGGTTAGAAGCGGCGCGGTCATGGCGGAGCGCGGACAGCAGCCTCCTCCCGCGAAACGGCTCTGCTGCCGGCCGGGCGGCGGCGGCGGCGGGGGCAGCAGCGGCGGCGGTGGCGGAGCGGGTGGCGGCTACAGCTCTGCCTGTCGGCCCGGCCCGCGGGCGGGCGGCGCAGCGGCGGCGGCGTGCGGGGGCGGCGCGGCGCTGGGGCTGCTGCCGCCGGGCAAGACCCAGAGCCCCGAGTCGCTGCTGGACATCGCGGCGCGCAGAGTGGCAGAGAAGTGGCCGTTCCAGCGCGTGGAAGAGCGCTTCGAGCGCATTCCGGAGCCGGTGCAGCGCCGCATAGTCTACTGGTCCTTTCCCCGCAGCGAGCGGGAGATCTGCATGTACTCGTCCTTCAATACCGGCGGCGGCGCCGCGGGCGGCCCCGGCGACGACAGCGGCAGCCCGGCGGCGCGGGCGGCGGCGCAGGAGGTACGGGCGGCGGCGGGTCCTCGTCCTCTCCGGCTGCCACCTCGGCCGCCGCCGCCGCCGCCGCAGGGGCCGGGACTCCGTCGGTGGGGGCTGCCGGGGCAGCGGACGGCGGCGAGGAGACGCGGCTGCCCTTCCGCCGGGGCATCGCGCTGCTGGAGAGCGGCTGCGTAGACAACGTCCTGCAAGTCGGTGAGTCATGGGGCAGCCGCGGGCCGTCTGTCTGTCCGTCAGTTCCTCTGGGGGGCCGCCCGCTTCTCCCCACGGTCAGCCGCCCCTCCTCCAGTCGGCGCGCGCCCGCCCGCACCCTCGCCCGGTGCCCTCTACGGCCCGGACGGTCCTCCGAGCGGAGCGCCCATTTCCTCCCGCCCGCCCCGCCCCGCCCCCGTCTCCCCGGACGGGCTGGCGCGAGTGGGAAATGAATCAGCAGGACGCGCCCCTCCGCGGGGTCGGCAGTGGGTGTCGGCGCCCCCGGCCCGCGCCGCTGTCCCCGGTCTGCTCCGGGCGCACATACGGGGGGGGGGCGGGCGGCTCGCGGGTTTTGCGGGGCGGATGTGGACAAAGGCGCGGGCGGACCTGGGGCTCCGAATAGGGTGTGTGGTGGGGCCGTGCGGGGCGGGGGAGGGGGCGCGGCCCGCACAGACAATGCCGGCCGGGGCGAGCCGGGCCGGGCCGCTCCGCACTCTCCCCCACCTCGCTCTTGCCTGTCGCCCGTCTGCTTTTTTCCTCTCCCACCTCCGTTCCCCGCGATTGGGGCGGGGGCGAGGGATACACTGAACACGGCTCGGTGGCCGCTCCGACGGGCCGGTGGGCGCGCGCGTGGTGCTCGGGGCTCTGTGGCGTCCAACCCGGCGAGCTTCCTGGCTGCCCCGTGTCTGCAGATCCTCCTCTCCCCGGCGTCTCCGCGACCTGAGCCGCGCAGGACGGAGGCGGCGCCCCGCCGAGCTCCGGGGGGGACCTTTCGCCCGAGGACGCCCCCGATGAAAGGCGCGCTCCCCTTTTTCCGCGGACCGGTTCCGGCCCCGCCGCCCGCTGGAGTTGGGTCAGCGGTGGGGCTCAGTGTGCGGAGCTCGGGGCGAGCCCGAGGAGCACCTAGGACGGCTCGTCCGATTGAGGGAGCGCGGGCGCAGGGGCTGGGCGCCGCTGCCCGGTCGACCCGGCACTTTGTTCTCATTTGCAGGTTTATTTGTGCCCCTTTCAGTTTTCTGTCACCGTCCAAAAAGGGGAAACCAAACAAAAGAACCTCTTTATTTTTTTTCAGGGCTTGTAAAGTAGAAGATACTTGACAAAGGCGAGAAGGACTTGTGATTTAAAGCTGCACAGCTCTCCTTTCTCTGATAGACCATGGGAGTTTTCTCAGAAACCCAGTTTAAAAGCTACCGCTGCTCCTCCACCTCCAAAATGGTTTTCTTTTTCTTCGTCCAGATATCTACCAGCAGTAGCGATGGGAATGTTTGAACTGCACTGAAATGAACAATGCTGTGGTGAAACTCTCCTTCCCACTTTTTTCTTCTGATTAAATGGCATATTTTCCTATCCCCTCCCATGTTAGGAGTAGTTGAAATAGACCAAATGGATAAGGATAGATTTGGTGGAAGCATCTCTTAGATTTTTAACTTAGTTTTTTTTCTTTCTGTAGTCAGTTTCTTTTAATCTTCTGTTTGGGAGCAGGAAGGGGGGTCTGGATAGTGGCCTCAAAAGAGAATTAAGATTTGTTTTAATCCTGTCTGGTTAATTTGAATTCTAATACAATCTGCAGACGTGATTTTCTGCATGGTCATTTATTTCCAAAGGCAGCCCCAGTGTTGCCTTTTCTGTGCTCAGCACCCTTTCCTTCTGTCTAGCGAGGGGCTAGCTTTTCAGGCTCCCCAGCCTTTTTTTCTTTTTTCTCTTTTTCCCTTTTAACATCTAATTAACATTCTTTCAAGTTATATCTTTTTTTTCGGTTTTGTTTTTTGTTTCCTGCCGGATTGAAACGGATTGACGCATATCTATGGCCTCTCAGTGTAACAAACTTAGAGTCTGCAGATTTTTATGGCTTGGCTGGCAGTGTTGAGTTTTTTTCCCCCCTCTGTGCTTGACTCTGCTTGCAAGCAATGAGGAATGACAGGAGAGCACATAGGGAGGGTTTCTTGGCTGATTGCATTTAAGCCAGGAATTCACTGTGAAAATAAAGCCAAGGGGTGATAAATAAAAGATGCAATCTTCTCTAGGAGACAGACACACAGCGTGGGCTTTGCCTGCTTTCATCAGTGGAAGAGGCCTGGGTGGGTAGTTGTAAAAGAAAATAGTAACTTTTTGAATAGTCCCCAAAGGGGAAGGAGGCCACTGAATGGAATTGGCAGCGGTTGATGTGAAGTAGTGTGATGCTTCTAGTGTAGTTTGAGGAGTTGACCACCACTTCGGAAACACACACATACGTGCTAGGCAAGTGCTGTAAAAATTGTGGAAAATACTCTTTCTTGCCCTTTGAGTTCTGCCAGTTTTCTTAACTTCCAAGCTGTATTATTTGAGCCAGTCAGTTTAGAGATGGAAGGCTGTTAAGTGCCTGGCAGCTGGCACTGTGAGATAGAAAACTTAAGACCAGGTCTTCTCACCCCTCCCCCCATGGGGTACTGGAGAGAGGGTGGCTAGATTAAGCATCTAATTTAGCTTTAAGTGGTTTGAATCTGTATACTAACTCACAAGGTTTGTTTTGTGTTTGTGATTTGAAGTAGAATTTTTTTGTTTCAGAACCAGTAAAGGAAAAGAACAAAATATTGTGTTGATAGCACCATAGGCAGTTTTCTGCTATTAAAAATTACAAGTTTGTTTATACAGGAAGTATTCACTGACTTTAGAGATGACTAAACTGTAGCTACAATAGGAAAACCTAGTTGGTGTCCTTTATTAAAAGTACATTTATGCCGGTGAGGATTATGTAAGGATTGAGGAGCAGAGAGCGAGCCTCCTTGGTAGAGTTTAAGAAGAAATTTAGGAGTAATTAAATCTTTTTTATACTACTTGTAAGCCATATGAGCTACCCATCAGTGGGCCGTAAGAAAATTTTTATAGAAATGTAGTCTTTTTCTTTTTGGTAAAATCTCAGAAGGGAACTGTCTCTGAAGATGCTGGTATTACATCATTAAGTAGTAATTTAGAAGTTAATATATAAACAATTTCCCCCAATTTTTGTCTAAGAACTTGTCTTATGTGAACTTAAAATTAAATTATGAAGGATACATTTAATTGGATAAAAATCAAATGTCTGCAGGGCTGAAACACTATAAACCAGAAGTAGCTAACTGGGACAAATATTTATAATATGTTTGACTAAAGGCCGGCAAAAAACTCCTAAAAACTGGTTTTAGTTTTTGTTTTTTTAAAAAAAAAAAAAAAAACTCATTTCTGTAATTCCAGATAAGGGGATTGCAGTTCAAGACCAGTCCAGGCAAAAAGTTGGTGAAACCCTTTCTCAAAAAACAAGCCAGGGGTGGTGGTACATATCTGTAATCCCACGTACTCAAGAGACAGAGGTAAAAGGATCATGGTCCAAGGCCAGTATAGAAAAAAAGTAACTAAAAGCAAAAGGGTTAGGGGTATGACTCAAGTGGAAGGTCCCGAGTTCAGAGCCCTGTACTGCCAAAAAAAGAAAAAAAAAATGATTAACCCAGTAGGAAAATGGATAATATATTGGAGAAACAAAAAAATACAAATACTTAAAGAAACATACTCATTTTCACTCTGAGATATAAGTACAAATGAGATACTGTTCTCATCTACCACACTGGCAAAGACTAAAAAGATACAATAATAGTGCCCAGAATTGGTTGGTGAGGTAGAAGAGGATGCTGCCTAACATCCTACTTGGCACATTCTTTTTTGTGTTATTTTCTAGGAATTTATCTTACAGGTACTGATAGTAATACATAGAAATGTTATGTATAGCAGTGTTCATTGCAGTATGCTTTGCAATATTGAAATATTATCAAGCTTAATTTCTATTAGAAGGGAAATTGTTAAGAAGTACTCAGTGGAGTACTGTGCAACCATGTAGAAACCAAATAGGTTTATGTATTCTAACAAGGAAAGGTGGCTATTTTAAGTCAAGCAAAAAACTTCACATGGTTTTCTGTAATTTATGTTAATCCCAAAACACATAGACTTATGTGTAAACGCATGGAAACATTTGGAAGGCTGTCCAGTTAATATCACCAGTCTTTGGCACAAGTGAATGGGCAAGGATTTTTTTTTTTTGGGTGAGGGGAGAGGGATTTCACTTCTTTATGCCTATTTCATGGTTAGGTTTTTCTCAAAACTAGAGGTATTTTTTTTTTAATAAAGCAACTTAATTATCCTTGAGTTTTTATATTTTTTATTTGGTGTGAGTGTATGTGTGAGTGTGTGTACATATGTGCTTGAGCATGTGAGTATGCAGGTCCTTTCTAAATATGTGGTGTATTTTTTTTTTCTGATTTTGAAACACATAAGTTTCCTTATTTTGACTAAAATAGTCATTTTAAAAGCAAGACATGTTAAAGCAAATCTAGAGTCTTAGGCCAGAAGCATAGCTCAAGTGGTAGAGCGCCTGCCCAGCAAACGTGAAGCCCTGAGTTCAAACCCCAGTGTTACCAAACAAACTAGAATCTTGTCTTTTGTGTGGGAAGGAAGAAGACAAATTTTAAAAAGAGTTGCTCTTTTTCTTTTATTGCTCATTAAATTTGGGAGAAATACCGCCCACAGCTCTGCTAACGCTTAGATCCACACATTCTTAAGGACTTTTCACGTTCTTAGGGGAATAGGCAGAAAAAAGTGATCATTATTAGAATTAAAATGAATAATAATTTCAATCACATAATTTATTGGCCTTTCCTTGAGTATTTTGATTTTCTTAGATAGACCAGAGATGACTATATAAATACATGATTCTAAATGTATTTTCAGAATTGGGTAGTTTTTCTAAAAAACACTATTGAATGTATTTTCAAGGTTATAATGTAGAACAGTTTTGTATAAGATCCTATATTTTATCTGCCTTTTTTTTAATCTGCCTTTTTTTTTTTTTTTCTTGTGCAGGGGATCAAACACAGGACCACACTTGCTGAGCAAGTGCTTTACTACTGAGCTGTGTCCCCAGCTTGTCCTGCCTTTTGATTAATGAAAAAGTAAACTATAGGCAAGAAATTTTGAAACCATTTTCATATGTTTTGCTCTTTTTTGGGGCGGTATTGGTATTTGAACTCAGGGCCTCATGCTTGCTAAGCGGGTGCTGCTTGAACTATGCCCCCAACCTGAGATGTTTGAATGGTTCACAGTGATTTTTGCCAGTATTTCAGTACCTGATATGCCCCCATCATTGTTTTGAGGGAAGCTAAATGTTCAGTTGTATATGAAATAGTTGGCATTAATTATGATACTCCGTCCTCTGATGGTTGGTTTGGGTCCAGTCATAAAATATTTTTTGTAGCCCAAAGACTTTAACAATAATGGAAAATGGAATTTCAGATTTGTGTTAAGCAAACATCTATACTCTTGCTTTAGTCTTTCAATTTTGTTTATTTTTGTGCTGAGGATTGAATCCATTGTGTGCTGTGTGTTAGGCAAGTGCGGTACCGCTGAGCTACACCCCCAGTCCCTAGTCTTGTGATTTCTTGCAGTGCAGTTGTGTTAAGAGTATTCTTTTGTATGAAAAGGCCATCCCTGTTATTTTTTCCCTTTCATATTGAATTTTAATCTTTTTACAGATGTGAGACTGGTGTCTTCCCTTTTAGGAACATGAGGATGCATGTGAAACATATCCTTTAATAGAAGAATTGTAATTAATCAAACAGTTTGATTCCTTATGTCTTAAGTATGTATGTGTTGATTTTTAAGATGTTTATCCTGGGCCTCTTTTCATAATTGGTAATAAATTATATCTCAGACCTAACTGTAAATGTTTCACATAGAAAAATACAGGCCAGCACGTGTATTCTGCTCACTGTCAAGGTTTAGTTAAGAATGTGCTATTTTAGCTAGTAATACGTTCAATGAATGGGATGGCACAGGAGGAGTATGTTTTTTTCTTTTAAGAAAACTCTCTTTTAATATGTGATTGAGGGGTTGGGGATTTAGTACAGTGGAAGACCGCTTGCCTGGCAAGTGCAAGGCCCTGAGTTCCGTCCCCAGCACCAAAAAAAAAAAAAATGTGATTGAATTGGTACTGTTTCTGAATGCATCTTTATATTTTTGTGTAAGTTTTCCTCAGTGAAACAAAATAAACTTGGTACCTTTAGGAAGCATACTTAGGTATACATATGATAAAACAAACTCATTTATTGATAGAAAATTTCAAACTGCTGTTGTTTAAGCTGTCATATATGCTAGAAAAGAAAGCAGATTATTGCTACGTGCGAATATGTTAGAAACAAGGCAGATTATAGGTTAATACTATTTTTAAAGGGTAATAAAGTACATGAAACCCACAAAACCATTTCTAGTTACCTTCCAGATTACATGGTATAATTTAAAAAATGATTCTTCACAAAAAACCTAATTTACTTTTTGTGGTTTATTAATTTTTGACATGTAAATGTTTAGGAATTACTCTAAAATTGGAAACATGAGGTATTTCCTCCTTTAAATCTTCTTCTGAGAAATCAATATCAAATGTTAATTTGGAGAAAAATTTTGCATAGTCTTGTACCATAAAAGAGACTCTTCTTAGTCAATCCTACCAGATTCTCAAAAGTAGAGTGTGTTGGCTAGATTTATTTAAAAACCCAGGTACCTTTCTAGTTTTTGCTTTCAGTGCTCTGTGTGCTGCTAAGAACATGTTTTGGACATGATTTTCAGTTCTTTAAAAGTTAAATGCTTCCTTAATTTTTTTCGTCTAGAAAAGAGAGCTAAAGCAACCTTTGGAGAGAATGCAGTGCAAAATCTGCTTATCAGAGCTGATTGAAACATTGGTTTTCAGCTGGTAGTAAGGAAACTTGCTAAGGGAATGAGCCATACCTCTCTCCCTTTTTTCGTTATTTTTTTAGGTAGGGTCTCACTTTGTTTTTTTGGCCAGGGCTGACCTGGACCCTATAGCTGGGATTATAGGCATGTATATTTGTTAAGATGAGGGACTTGCTAACTTGTTTGTTTGTTTGTTTTTTGGCCTGGGCCAGCCTCAAACCACAATCTCCTGATCTCTACCTCCTGGGTAGTTGGGATTACCAGGTGTATGCCACCATGCCTTGCCCAAATAAGTAATTTCTTTCATATACTTCGAGAACATACTTTGTACCATGCTAGACCTAACCTGCTTGTTACTTCTGTTCTAAAAGTTTAACTTCTCATGGTAGTGATCAGAATCACCCAATACAACCATCCTCCAAACAATACAACCATCCTCCAAACATGAAATTAATCTATCAAAGATATTTTTAATGAAGGATGAAGCTCAGCCATATGCAAGAAGCCCTAGGTTCATTCCTCAGCAGGGGGAAGAAAAGACATTGTTAAACTATGGTGATTTTCATTTTTCTTTTTTTTTTGGTGGTACTGGGGTTCAAACTCAGCTTTGTGCTTGCAAGGCAGGCATTCTACTACTTCAGTCATGCTTACAGCCCATCAAGTAAAATTTGAAATGTATATTTAAATAATAGTTACGATCACAATTTGAAATTCTGATCACTGAAAATCACTCTGGAAAGTAGCAAGAGACTAAGTTTAAAGATAACCTTCTAGAAACGTAACGATGTACCACTGGCAGTATCCCTTACTGTGTCAGAGGCTGCCTGGCTTTGTTTCAAACCTGTATGAACTTTTTTTTTTTTTTTTTGGCAGTATTGGGGTTTGCACTCAGGGTCTTGGGCTTGCTAGGCATGTACTCTTATCACTTGAGCCACTCTGCCAGCCCTTCAAGTCTGTACAGTCTGAGAAAAAGTTACTTGACCTTTTTTCCTACGCTCAGTTTCTTAGTCTGTAAAATGAGAACGACAGTGCCTACCTATGGCTGTTGGAAAGAAATATCAACTGCATAAAGAGAGTGTGTGGTTAACTGCTTATCAACTTACATTAATTATTGGTTATAGTAAGAATCTACCATCAGTTGTGTCCAGGTGGTTTAGTAAAGAGCCACCCCAAACCATATGGAAAGTCTTGAAAAATAAAAGAGGTTAGTAAAGCTTTGTAGCCATGTGTTCTGTGAAGCAGTACCTAAGTGTATGAGCACATTCTGAGGGGTTTTGTATATCCTATTCACTGGTGGTGATGGAGTTTGCTTGCTGACAAGAACAGTGAGATATGTGCAAAAGCATCAAATATGAACCAGACCTCTTACGGCATTAACTTCTGTTCTGCATAACCACTTT